TTAATATGTGTTAAGCCTCACTTCTATTTCTGCCTGGGCCCCATGACCTGTCGAGATTTTTACTTTGGGTTTTTACTTTTACTGCCATAGAAGTGAGAACACACTATACAGGGTGATTGATATAAGTGTGCCAGCCGTTTTATTCGAAAACTATAAGAGATATCAAAAAAAGTTAAATGGTAAGTGCCCTGGATTTTTTACTAAAAAAATTCTAGTCAAGTCAAAAAAATTATTTTAGCCGCCATTTTTCCAATATGGCCGCCAACTTTGATTTTTCTTATGGAACACCCTGTATTTTATGATGTATTCTGGTAGAAAAAGTAATTTTAAGACGATTTTATTCTTTGTGATTTTTTTCATAAACCTAACCGTTTTAAAGATAATAATGGTTTAAGTTGTGAAATTTTGAATGGTTTTCGAGCAAAACAGCTGGCATGCTTGCTTCGAAACTCTTTCTCATGCAGAAATTTCAAAACTTTAACCATTATTATCTTTAAAACGGTTAGGTTTATGAAAAAAATCACAAGAATAAAATCGTCTTAAAATTACTTTTTCTACCAGAATACATCATAAAATACAGGGTATTCCGTAAGAAAAATCAAAGTTGGCGGCCATATTGGAAAAATGGCGGCTAAAATAATTTTTTTTGACTTGACTATAATTTTTTAAATAAAAAATCCAAGGCACTTACCATTTAACTTTTTTTGATATCTCTTATAGTTTTCGAATAAAACGGCTGGCACACTTATATCAATCACCCTGTATAGAACTGACTTTATTTTAACAATAAAATATATTAGTTAAACGTTAAACTCTTTCATGATTCCTAAGCTCAAAAACAAAACACAAACTAACTATCTTGTTGCTAGGCAACACTTAACACTAAATTCAAACCATATGTTTATGTGAAGTCTAAATGTAAAAATTATTTCTTGACAGGTGCGTGGATGAGTGTAGAATGTTGTGTAATGCTTTGTGTAGCTTTGTTACTGAGCTGTTTTATTAGTCAGGACCAAAAAGCACAATGACTGAGGAAAGTTGGTTCCAGTTTTGAACCATCAGAAAGCTACACACTTTTCTCAGGATCCAATCGGTAACCTTTTAATTACTAGGCAAGCACTATAACCACTGAGCTACCCAGGTATTGACTTAGGCCCATGTTATACGGGCAGCTTTAAAATCGTGTGTCAAGCCAACCGGTCAATGGACTTCCTGAGTGCTAGTGTGAAGAACATGATACCTACCCTCTCTATTCCTTAGGCTATCGTATAGGCTCACACATGAGGGCGTAGCTCTGAGCTTTATTATTTTATTGTAAGAGAATAGATGTGTAATAAGGGTTGGTTTCCCCAGAAATAATAAGTCAAGACGTAGCTCTGTTATAACAACAAAAACCTTTATATTCCAAAGTAATAAACTATTTCTATACAACAATTAACAACAAACCCACTGATGAATGGCTATTTGGAAACGTCTTGGAGGCAGCTAAAACTCTGAATATAATATCCCCAAAAAATAATCTACTTGCACGTATTGTATTACCAATAAAAAATCTAAACCAGATCAAATTCCCTCATTTAAGTCCAACAAAACATACAGCTCTCTCTTAAACTCTTAACCCCCTTTTAAACAGTACTTCCCTTACAAAACTCCCAGCTAAAGGGCCTAACCGTAAGATAGAGCAACCAGTACTCACCCAACACTTCTGGGCAGTGGGCACCCTGCCCTGGCCGACTGACCCCTTTCTCTAACTCAGGTGGCCTATTTATTGAACCCGATAGCTACTGAGTGCAAGGCCCTCAGTGTTTACAAAAACACCTCCAGCACGCTTCCGAGGTAGCAAGGCCTGACCACAGGTCTTCAACCTAGCTTACCCAGCCTACCCTACATTACACGAGCATTTTATCTGTCACGTTGAAACCTGTAAAGTCAGCGTGAGCGTAAATTACGTGTCCGGACCGGTAAACTAGCAGCAAATCACTCCAATTGCTGTTGTACGGACAACTTTAACGCGGCAGATCTGCTACCTTACCCCCACCACTACTTGTCCACACACTACCACCAGTACACACCCTTGCACATTCAGGTGAGTGACTTTGCTGACTGCTGACTCCAGTTGTATTAGTGGCTGTCTTTAAGTTTTGTCATTTTGTTTGACACCGAGAAATTTATTTTTAGGTCGATAGTCGTCCAGCCATTACGACACAAAATTGAAGGAGTATTCCAACAAGTTGGTTAAAGCTCACTGCTGGACGGAGGTTGCAGGCCCGGTCTGGCTCCATTGGAGGCCCTCGCCTAGATGTTGATTTGAGGCCTCCAGGCAGAAATAAAACAAGGACCATGGGGTGCTCTCACGGCAACAATTAGTTAGCATATGTGTTTGCTGCATGCCGCAGGTGCATAAAAGGGGCCTAAGGTGGTTTTAAATGATTAAAAGTTTTTGATAATTTTGATTAAATTAATAATTGCTAAATTTCCATAAATTAAAATCTTTGTATTTATAAATTTAATTCCAAGGTATCAATCAATTTAAATTTGATATAAAATTTGCTCGTATTTCTATTCACCTCTATAGCTGCCATAACATTTAAAGGCCTATTCTTAAAATTGTTTTAAGTCTTCAATTTAAAAATAAGACCAAACCCTAGTTCTTAGAGTTTTTGCCATACATGGTAAAAAAACATATCACGTACCACTTTTGAATTTTGAATACATCAATGAATGGACCACATTTACTGTTTATCACACACTTTACTCCATAGTTGTACTTCAGCAACAAAGACAAACAGAAATAATCAAAAGTATTTTAATTTAAACGTTGTAAGGCTTACAAAAAACTTCTGATGATTTCCGCCTGCCTGTTTGCGACTTCTCGTTGTTAGCAGAATCGGAACTGAAACCAGCTAACCTGCTAACCATAAGTTCAAACAGTTTGACTTTAATTTGTTTTTATTTTGAAATATTTCCTATCCATTTTTATTTTACTTGCGCCACTTGGGTGCACACGTTTTATTTTATAAACTGAACAATTCATGTGTTAGTAATCTTTCAAACAATACGTCATAACCCACTACGTAGGAATGACTGGAAACAGTTGTCGGTAATTAAACTAGTCGTAACACCATACTCGACCTTCTGGTGTTGAGATGAGGCTGACTGGTCGAATAAAATCAGTTGTAGATAAACTGACGGATAGAAATTGGGAACAGTTTTTAGGGATGATACATAAAATGTAATTGCATTTATTTTTGTTGTTTAAAAAAATATAAAATTGCCAAGACACTGTGTTTTATATACTGACTAGCTGTTGTACCCGTGCTTTGCAACGGGAAGAGAACACGAAATAGAAACATTTTGATCTTTACATCTGTTGATAAAATAGTGACACATAAGCCTTTTAAAAACAAAATTTTACCTTTATGGCCTTAATAGGATAGCTGTAGTCATAAATGTAAAAAAATAATAGTACTGCACCCTGTTGGTAAACCTTGTAACTTTTTAATGCTATTTAATATCATAGAACCAACTTGTGTAGTTGAAACAGCTGACAAAAATTCTTTTATTCCTTTTACGATTACTCATAAGGTTAACATGGGAAACTCCAGAGCCACTGGGGCGGAGCCCGAAAGGACTTTTAAGATAAGAATGCGTCTATATGTTAATCGGGAATGTGAGCTATCATCATACCAAATTTCTGCCCAATCCGACCAGTATTTTTCGCGTTTACGTGTCACAAACATATATCCATCCATCCATACATCCAAACTTTCTCATTTATAATATTAGTAGGATGATTTAGATTTTAATGCCTGTAGTAAAATCTGTTTTAAAACCAGGTAACAAATAAATAGGAATATTTGTTATACTGAGTTAGAGACATTAGGCCTACTGAATAATTTAAATCTTGCAGTCATGTAATAAACTAAAAATTTTTAATTAATTGTAAATGTTGTCATTCTATTACGTTTTATACCAAAGTAACAAAATATTAATGCAAATGACAACAAACAATAGGAATCAAGCGGGAAAACTCCAATGTTTAAAGTAAAATTATAATTTTCTTTGCAATGACTGAAACCACTGCACCGATTGAACGCCACCAGTTGTTGTTGTGGAATTCACTCGGTTTTTCATTCGACTGAAAAACCACTGGTTTTAAAAACAACCAATTGACAGATTGACTAGTCGATAGTTTTTTCCAGTCGGTTGTCCCATCACTATACTAGTACAAGCGCTAAGCTGTCTGCTTGAGAAGGCTTGAGTCCAGACACCAGACATATCGCAGACGCGCCAGCACGGCAATGTCTCGTCACTACCGCGGAGCGCTGGGCACTGAGCTGATTCGAACGGTGCGTTGCAGAGAGTTCGGTGACTATCCTCTAGTACCGAGTGACTATCACTGTACTTAGGGGCTACCCCTAACTGTAATTCAATTAAAAAAGAGTATTGTTTATTAAAAATTGTTTTTTCAAGACTACGTTGCTGTGAAACAGTTAAACAAAATATTTTTTTATTATAACTAAATTTTTTTGAATTGATTTTTTGGCTTTTGGAGGCCCCCTTGAGCCAGAGGCCCTCGGGGATCGCCGACCAGCCGCCCTGGCCAGACCGGGCCTGGGAGGTTGGCATGGTGGAAACCGATACAATCCACTTGCACTGCATCCATGTTGACTACTGTAGCAGACTAAACTGATCCGCATGTCCAGGTCGGGAATATTCGGCATTTGGCAGCCCTCGGTACCTGTCGCAGTGATTTTGCTGCTCGTATAATAGCTTCACCACCGAACATGTGCATGGAATATACGGCGTTTTCTTCACTCGTATAACAGCTCAGTTTTTTATGATCAGTGTGAGCATGATATCTGCTGCAACAAAGCTGCTCATATAACATGGCCCTCAAACAAAATGCAGTCATCAGTTAATTACTTTCAAACATGACATGCAATCATCTGAGAAGTAGATTTGAAACTTGAACAAGTTTTAGGGATGGTAAATAGACATTTTCCTAAAAGTATGAATGAATTTCATTCCTTTAATACAGTTGCTACATATTTAAATATACAGTAATATTGTAAATCTCTTTAATATGTTATACAATAAACAAGCTAACAACAAGTGTGATGAAACAGGCTACAGTTTAATATCACAGCAGCTGTCGGCCTCTGTGGACCTTGGTAAAACATGAGCATTAGTTGGAGGTAGATTTCATGAAGCAAGGAAGGTATAATGATGATTACAATGTCAACTAAACACACAGTGTAAGGAGGCGTTTGTTATTAGTGAAATTCTGTTAAAAACCTAAATTCTCAATGTGGTCCAGTGCCTCAGAGAATCTCATTGCCTTAAAGAGTAAGAGGCATTATCCATGCCATTTTGTACAAGTGCTTTTACTGAGCCATTGACATTAAATGATGTTTACTAATCAAACAACAACAAAATTTTATTTCACTATGGTTTTAACTGTGATATTACATACAAATATAAAAGCATTGACTATACATATTGTGTATATCTGTTTTTATATATTGTGTATGTTATCACGTAGAGGCGATTACTAAATATACCGCAGTGCATTATTTTGTTCAATTGTCCCCCTGTATTGTTTTTGGTCTTTAGTATTTATATTCAATGACAGAAGTAAGCCAGACAACAAAATTCAAAACCATCAGGCAAATCAATCTATGTCATATTACAACAGGTTAGTGTTAATGTAGTATTACTGATGGTCGTGTCTGTGAAAAAATCTAGTCACTAATTTTGTGCTACAATAAACTAATTGTATTGTTTTGGCTTATTTCAATGTTATCAAAAGTTTCCTTAGATATAATTTTGTCGTTTTAGAACAAATATCTAAGAATTCTAGGGCTCTTAAAAACATGCATAGGTATTTGAAATGTATAAAAATTTCCTTGCTTCATGCTCCATGAATGGCTAAATAATACTCTAATGGAAAGACAAGAGTCATCACTAAACCAAGTATAGTTCGGCCGCTTAGAAAACGACCTGCGCGCTAATGCTAAACCAATGCTGGAGGAGGTCGCTTTCTAAGCGGCCGAACTATAGTCACATATTATCTACTGCCACTCACACCACAGCCATTGTATTGGTTTGCTGTCAGATGAGTATTGTCTTTGACTATTAATACGTCAATAGTATTGTGTATCACCATTGACTATTGGATACTATTGTTGTATTAATAGTCAAAGGTATCACCTACAAATTATATCTTTTGTTTCTCTCTAAATTCTAATATAATAAGCCTGATTCAAATACATAAGGTTTTAATCACAAACAGGTTCAAGCTCATAGAATACTATTTATGATACGTAATTTAATATCGCTAAATTTTTTAAAGCTTAATTTTAAGATAATTATTTTAACTCAATAAGTTAATTTTATTAACCAAAATAAAATTAATTTAAGGAAAAAAAACAATTGTTTATGCATAAAGCATTTCTTTGTGTTTCATTGGTTTACAAAACCATAATAACAACAATGTGCATGGTGAAAAATACATAGGTGTGCTATTCCCTTCATATGCTGACGTCACTCAAATTGCAAACACCATTTTACCATAGAAAGATTATAAAAACAATAACAATCAAATCAAAAAATATATATACTTATATGGCATACAATCAGCTGATGTTTTGTTTGCAATCTGGGTGACGTCAGCATATGACGGGAATAGCATACCTATGTATTTTCCTTCCACCATGAACACTGTGTATGCTGCTATTACGCTCACATTAAAAAAATACACTTCTTGGGTGTTATCAACCAACTATTAAATTACCAGCCTATAGTTTCTATTAAAAATTAACCATTTTGTTAGGGTACAAACATACATGACGCGTCAAAACAAATACGTACTTTGTAATCCAAAGGAACACATAGAGAGCGGCACGGCACGGCACAGTCTTCAATTGAAACAGTTGAGTTTGATTTTTTTGGAGCGGCAGCAAGCGTTTTTCGTGTAGTCCTAGTGATGGAAGGGAAGAGAGAAGATACTCTAATCGTTAAAATTGTATGAAATAAAGGGTATTAGCATTCTGACACATACTTTCTCCCATAAGCTTCTCAACAACCTTCATCATGTGTAAGCGGTAAGAGTAAATATACGGAAATGGGATTTGAACAATTTTGTTCAGAATTTAAAGGACTATAACATACTAAATTTTTATCAAAATTGTTCGAGCCAATTTTGGGAATATCCAATTTTTCCGTTATTTTATGGGGGTTTTATGGGAAAATAACATAATTTACAATAACTTTTGAACCGTAATTTTTACAGAAATGGAATTTGTACCATTTTGTTCAGAATATAAAGGACTATAACATACTAAATTTTTATCAAAATCGTTCGGGCCATTTTTGGGAAAATCCTATTTTTCCGTTATTTTATGGGGTTTTATCGGAAAATCCCCATTAAAAATAAAAATTTCTAAAACATAAAAAAACTATCAAAATTCTAAGGACCATAACATACTATGTAAAATCAAAACCGGATTTTTGTCTAAAATCCTATTTTTTGTTATTTTATGGGGTTTTATGGGAAATAACATAATTTACCATAACTTTTGAACCGTAATTTTTACAGAAATGGGATTTGTACCATTTAGTTCAGAATTTAAAGGGCTACAACATACTAAATTTTTATCAAAACTGGGCCATTTTTGAGAAAATCCGATTTTTCCGGGTTTTATGGGAAAACCCCCATTAAAAATCAAAATTTCAAAAAAATGAAAAAATACCTGGAGATACCATTAATTAGAACCTACATACCAAATTTCATCGAAATCGGACCACAGGTGTAGTCTCTAGCTCTGTGTACACATACAGACACACTCACTTGGACACACACTCACACACACACACACACAGACATCACCTCAAAACCACTTTTTTTGGTCCAGGGGGACCCAAAACTAATATATCCACTCAAAACTCAAACTCGAAAATTTTGACGAAAACAATACTTTCTCCATACTATGGTATAGGGGGAGAAAGTAAAAAAGTATTTTTTTACAGTCACCTGACGAAGTAGGCTTCCTTGCACTGATTATAGTACAAGTTGCTAATAATTGCTGCATTTACTTACTTTTGCCGCACTCCAGTATTCCAACCAAACAACACAAATCAACATGCTTTTATTAGGCACGTAATACGTGTACGCTTGAAAATAGGTTGGCAACACTTAAAGATACTACGACTATGATCAGCTGGTGCAGTGTTTCTCATTTAGTTCAGTGCTTGGATTTAACCTAGCCTTAAAATGTGTTGAAAGACTAATCCTACTAATATTATAAATGAGAAAGTTTAGATGGATGGATGTATGTTTGTGACAAGTGAACGCGAAAAATACTGGTCGGATTGGGCTGAAATTTGGCATGATGAATAGCTCACATTCCCGATTAACATATAGGCATATTCTTATTTCAAAAATCCTTTCGGGCTCCGCCCCAGTGGCTCTGGAGTTTCCCATGTTAACCTTATGAGAAATGAAATTATTGAATCTTAACAGCTGTTTCAATTAAACAAGTTGGTTCTGTTCTGTGATGTTCAATAGCATTAAAGTTACAAAAATTACCAACAGGGTGCAGCACTATTATTTTTTTTACATTTATGACAACAGCTAATTTGCAACCAAAAGGTGAGTGAGCGTAGCGAACGAACTTCAACCTGGAGGCGAGTTAGCGTAGCGAACGAGCTAACCTGAAGGCAAGTGAGCGCAGCGAACGAGCTCCAACCTAAAGGTGAGTGAGCGTAGCGAACGAGCTCCAACCTAAAGGTGAGTGAGCGTAGCAAACGAGCTCCAACCTAAAGGTGAGTGAGCGTATCGAACAAACTTCAACCAGGACGTGATTGAGCCATGCGAATGAGATAATCTTGAAAATTAAGAAGTTAAACGGGGCAAAGCCCGCGGGTTACGGCTAGTTATTTATATGCTTTATAGTTACTGTTGGAAAAATATAACGTGTAACCCGAGTGCAAAGTACCTTTGCTGCACTCGAGAAACTTTCCACGCTCTCCTGTGGCTCGTGCGTAAATATTTCCCTTATGTGCAGCAAAGTGCAACTTCACACACTAGTTATAAAAATAACTATTTTGGGCCTGCACTGGGACAGGAGAAGCATAAGGCACTACAAGAACAGATATATTGTAGTTAAGCTGTGAGATGATGTGGCAATGGCAGTATGTGTTTCAATTAAAAGTGATAATGATTTAAAGGTAATTAAATAAAGGTAGTTTGAAAATCAAAAATTTTTTAACGAAGAAAAATGGAAAGAAGATTGAGCACGTAGGCCGCGACGTGAAGCAATGATATTTCAATCGTCCGTCTTAAGATTGCGGCTGCCGGCCGTGGTGGGCCCTATAGTGACGAGCACTACGAATAAAATGGATATCATTAATATGCGTAACAATATGCGTTTGCATTATGAATAATTCTATAACAAAATCAAAAAGAGCTTTTAATTTTTTACTAGCGTTTGCGGTTTTTCAGAAAAAGTTAATTTACATAATTAACAAAAAAAAACTGTTGGGCAAAGCAAAAATTCTGAAACCCTACAAATTAATTCATAATGTATGTACGGTATCTATGTTGTATTAATTCGTATTGATTAATTGTATTATTGTTTGATAACTTCCAACGTTTGGTTTACGTATACAAATTTTGAAGACATACAATAATATTGTTAAAGACAACACTTTAAGATTCTGACCGTCATATTAATTTTTATAAACGAGACAGAAAATATTTTTTTTCTTCATAAGAATACGTAGAATAAAACGATGAAACTGTTTATTTACTCAGCGTTCTCATAAGTAGTGTAGTTAACTTTTCTGTATAGCTCTAAACTTGAATGTCTACACTTGCGTATTAAAAGTGAGATTTTAGGCAGATTCTGCCTGCACGACGCGAAGTGGCACGTAGGAAAGCTCCTCTCGTACAACTCAAACTATAACAAAACTATGTCAGCTTAACATTTTTTTTCCAATATGATTCAGCAAATTTTACTCTTTAGCTACAAAATTTACCATTTTTAACTTACCTGACCAAATTATACAAAAATTAGCAACAACGAACTTTTTCATTTCATATTTTAAAACTCATATAAAAGAATCAAATTTTTTTTAGCATCTATATAAATAAAATTAGAGTTTTGTCTGTACATTGCTCAGAATTATAAATTTTTAGATTATTTTTCGTTTTATACATTAAAGAAGCCGAAACAAGTCTCATCTCTATTTCTGTCTGTCGGTCGTCTGTTACGGCCCAAGAGGCATTTTACGCGGCCTTCTCCTGAAAAACGAGACTACCTATCAAGATCCAAATCATTTTAATGTATTCACTGGATTGGCGAGATTGTCTTTGGCCATTAAGATATGGCCTCACTATTTTTTAAATAAAATGACGGATGTTTAAAAACCCGATTTTGTGCGATTTTTGTCAAGTTTTTCCCTGATGTCCATCACATAATCATCTATGAAATAACGAACAGCTGTTCGTTCGGATAAAGATTATTTTTTCTAGCTGTCACTGATATGTTTACATTAAATGTTGTTTACAAATACCGCAAACGATTCCAATAACGTTTTGAAAGCAAAACCCAAACCAAGTGAGATTAAAAACGAGTTTCCTTACATAAAGGATTTAATTAATCGAAAGTTCAATAATGTGTATTGTAACCGTAAATTAAATTAGAGATTCTTTGTGTATAAATTTTTTCTGAAGTTTTGATAACCGGGAAAAAGACCTTGAATCAGTGTTGTATAGGGCTCGGAACTGGATTAACGCATTTAATTGGTTGGATGTACTATAGTTCTTAACTGTAAACGTTGGTTTTTGGTACTGGTATTTTCCATAGAACCGGTGGTATCAACAAGAATAATTTTTACGTACCAACACATCACTATTTACAAATTAGTTATCGTTAGTGTTGCACCTTATTTATTACAGTAGTTTTCAATTTAACTGATGTCTTACTGTATAAGTTTTGCTTTTTCTTTATATGTCATAATATTAGGTTTATATATAATAGTTTTGCCAGCACGTCTGAAAATATGCAAACCAACTGCTGTTCTTTATATAATAAGGTTTCAACTGACTACTATAAGATCCCCGTGCGTAGAAAGGCCACAAAGCTAGTTAAAATATAAAATATTAGTTTTAAAGCTTTTTTATTGGAGATAAGAGTGCCCAAGCCTTATTTACTTCATTCATACAAAGTTTTGTAATACCTTTATTCTAAGTAGGCTAGATAGATACATAGTTATTTGGAAGCGGAACATTGAATTTTTACGACGTTTTCATCAATATCTAGCGCTTCTATTACTGCCTATAAGGCTGACCGTGCTTCAGTTTCTAGAATGTTATAAGTTGGATAGGCATGCTCCATCTATTGGTCTTTTGTAAACGTTGGTTTTTACTATCCTGTCCATGAAAATTTAAAGTAAAATGTAGCGACACTCATTTAACGATTGCGTCAAAATCCCTTATGTTTCCCCAACTGTCTAAATGGTTATTTTGAATCCTTAACAGTAGAAAAAGTTATGCTGTTAATGAATTTACACATTGCTTGGTTTTTGTTTTCATACAAAACCCAATTAATTTACGATTTGTGATAATTGTATGAGAATGGGAGAGAAGGAGACGTGCGTTCTGTGTGTTTGTACCCTTACATTTATGAAGTCTGGCGAGTTTTTTTGTGATGTCAGTGTTTTGAAATTTTTTTAAAGATTTACACTAGTTAAACAAATAATCTCATTTCTTCAATATTTAAAAATTGTCTATCTACTAAACTATTACCTTAAGTACCTATTACATATTACAAAAGGCCAAAACTTGTACCTTCAATGGAAGTGGTATACATTTATTTTTCTAGTATAAAATGTATTCATTTTCTAAAAGTACATAATTCTTATCTAGAAAGCTAATTTTTCTAAAATTGAAAAAAGCCTAAAGACCTTGTGGTTAATTCCAAACCCACTTGGGCTTGACAGGATCAAAGTCCCAGACATCAGCCTGGCCTACGTGAGGCAAGTCCTTGATGGGGCTCTTGGACCACTGGAATGGCTGCACCACGACTGCGCCGTTGCTCACACTGAACGGCGGACCAGCTGCTGCCAAGTAACCGTCCTTCTTGGAAACTTTCAAATCTATAACTCCGGAGAACTCTCTGAGAGACAAAACATTGTTGTCTTCCTCTCCTGATACTTTCCTCTTATCTACTATTAAATCAATTTCAGGAAGTTCTTCTTGAACTTTGTACTCTTGTGTTTTTTCGTTAGGATTGGAAGTATGCCCCTCCATATTCCTGAGTTCATCGGTTAGACGTTTCATCGAGATTATGGTGTTGAAGACTTCCTTTACATTGTGGACAAAGTGCGGTGGAGTAATCTGTTCAGTTTGAGTTTCCTCCTCGTCCCTGTGGAAGATTTCGTTGTTCGTCTCTGTTGTGGACCGTAGGAAACGCTCCTGGTAGTCTTGCTCTAGCTGACGTACATCGTCAATGCTCAGGTCACTTCGACCTACTAGTGTAAGGTCAGGACTTCTCATCAGGCAAATCAAAGATTCCAAATCTGTTACATTTGACTGACCAAGAGCCAAAACTTTGGCAACAGGATTGGATGCTTGGAAAGCTGACTTGTTGTTGCCAGACACACTCCGTATATCCTGAAAACAAGCGATTAATAATTGTTTTGAAATATAAATATTTCTTGCCAAAATACGCTCAAGATTCTATTTTTTATACTCTTCCCAAACTAATTCCAAATACAATGGAGCAATTAAGGTGTAGAAATTTTATGTAATCTATACTTATTTAATACGCAAGCAGGTTTTTTGTGACAATTACTCCTCCGAAACTACTAAACCAATTGACATGTTTTTGGTGTCATTGAAAAGAGCGTAACGTGAAGTTGTGCAGGAAACTTTCTTTTTAGGGAAATAATTAGAGAGTGAGGCCCTTTAAAGGTTTGTATTTCGCCTCAAGATTAACATGGGAGACAAAAATTGTTATGAAACTCCAGCTGTTGTCAGAAATTAAAAGTGAGAAGAATAACATATGTTAATTTTAAACAGTCAGTGAGTTTGCTAATTAATTTAACAGTTTGCTACAAACATTTACTTACTTGGTTGAAATGAGATATTAACTATTTGAATTTGGGTTGGCGTAAATATTACAATGGAAAAAGTGAGAGAACCTGGATAAATTGATATACTAAAAAGAAAACTGAATTAACACGGTGCTGCGTTTCTTAGTAATCACTAAAAGAGCCGATTTGCAAATTATGGAAACATAGGAAAGTCATAGAACACAACCAAGGAGAGGCAATAGAAATAATGTTTTTTTTTTTAATTTATAATGGTTATTATGGAAAACCTAATGCGGCTATGAGTAAGGCTATTTGTGGAAAACACTAAAACACAAGATCGGCTTTTGAAAAATGATAAGATATTTACAAGAAATGTTGAAAATTATGACTGTTATTCGTTTAAAAATAACGCCTGTAATTCTTAGCAATTGCTCGAATTCGAGCAACAGGTACACTAGTTTCCTGTTTAATAATCCAACATCTATCTATACTTCTATAACTATCACTACTTTGTCTAACAGTTGTGTGACTAACCTTATACAGAAATTGTAACAGGTTGTTTTTGGCTCTGTGTGTGTAGGCTAGGTACTTGCTTTTTCATCCACAGCTGCACTGTCTAGCAGTGTCTAGGGAACTTTGACTACAATTGTTGTGTGACTGACCTTATAATGTGGCAGACCGTAGCCATGGCCCAGTAGCCTGTAGAACTCAGTGTAGTTGTTTGTGGCTCTGAGTGTGTCAGACCTGGTACTTGCTGTATCACCCACAGCTGCACTGTCTAGCAGTGTCTAGGGAACTATGACTACAATTGTTGTGTGACTGACCTTATAATGTGGCAGACCGTAGCTATGGCCCAGTGGCCTGTAGAACTCAGTGTAGTTGTTTGTGGCTCTGAGTGTGTCAGACCTGGTACTTGCTGTATCACCCACAGCTGCACTGTCTAGCAGTGTCTAGGGAACTATGACTACAATTGTTGTGTGACTGACCTTATAATGTGGCAGACCGTAGCTGGCCCAGTAGCCTGTAGAACTCAGTGTGATTGTTTGTGGCTCTGAGTGTGTCAGACATGGTACTTGCTGTATCACCCACAGCTGCACTGTTTAGCAGTGTCTAGGGAACTATGACTACAATTGTTGTGTGACTGACCTTATAATGTGGCAGACCGTAGCTGGCCCAGTAGCCTGTAGAACTCAGTGTAGTTGTTTGTGGCTCTGAGTGTGTCAGACATGGTACTTGCTGTATCACCCACAGCTGCACTGTTTAGCAGTGTCTAGGGAACTTTGACTACAATTGTTGTGTGACTGACCTTATAATGTGGCAGACCGTAGCTGGCCCAGTAGCCTGTAGAACTCAGTTGATGTATCTTTATATATATATTACATATGGTTAATCTATGGCCTAGGCCTCAATGAAACTTTACTGTACAAGCCTTTGGATTGTGATGTAGAAAACGGAAGTTGTCTCTTGTTGGTCATTAATAAAGATGTCGTTTGTCGTTGTACAATGTGGTCTTGTCTTTGTCTTTTAATCCTAACTCATCTCGCTGTCTAACATATCATTGGCGACGAGCAAAATAACGTAATAATAAATACTTAAATGTCTCTTTTTTTATCTAGTGAAAATGTCTAAAGCACCATCGTTTGATCCGGGACTTGAAGACTTCAGTCAGTACGTCGAGAGGTTAGAATTTTTCTTCAGCATTGAGAAGATAGACGATGATGGTTTGAAGAAAAGTCATTTGTGTGTCAACCTAAGTCCAACTATTTATTCAGACTTAAAGTGTCTCCTTGCTCCAGTTGAATTTTCAAAAGCTACTTATAAACAGTGTGTGGATTCTCTGAAGTCTAAGTATGCTAAGGTTAAGAAGACGATAGCGGAGAGGTATGCTTTTCATAATCGAAAGCAGCATGTTGGTGAGTCCATATCTGATTATATTACTGAGATAAAAACTTTAGCCAATCATTGTAAGTTCGGCTCATTCTTCGATCAAGCTTTACGGGATCGTCTAGTGTCTGGCTTGTTGAATACGTCAATGGTTAGTAGGCTTCTGGCAGAAGAAGATAAGTTAACTTTTGAGGAAGCATGCACTATAATTAAGAACATGGAAGCTGTTGAACAGTCAGCTAATATTATAGCTGGCAATGTTAATAATGATTTAAGCCTATTAGTGACAAAATCCAACACCGGTTACAAGGACAGTACAAATTTTAGGCCAAGTCGTCCACGTTCAAAGTCAGTGACTTCTGTCAGTTCTAGGAGTAGTTATCGCAGTGGTTCGGTTAGCAGTGAGCGGAAGAAAAACAATAACTTTTCTAAGACTAAGAAAAGGTGTTCACATTGTTTCAAAAAACATCAGCCAAGTAATTGTCCTGCCAAAGATTGGGTGTGCCATAATTGTGGTAAAGTGGGGCATACGTCCAAGTTTTGTTATTCCGTCAAAAGTGTAGGCTATATGAATACTTGTAATACCATGTCTGTCTCCAAACCTTTAACAGTAAGTCTTAACGGTTATTCTATTGACTGGTTAATCGATACAGGTAGTGCAGTGAGTCTAATGAGTAAGTCGACTGCATCGAAACTTCAGTTATGTGGTAAGCTAAATCCATACATAGGACAAGTTAGGGGAGTGAACGGTCAAAACTTAAATATATTAGGTACATGTGAAGTCGTGGTCAGTGACTCAAGTGTCGGTAGTTCACATTCTTTACCTGTTATTGTCGCAGATAGTCTACTAAGCTGGAATGCAATTTTAGGCCGTGACTGGCTTGATATCTTGTCACCTAACTGGTCTGTAAATATTATGCCTAAGTTTATTAATTGTTGTAACATTGATACCCAAGTGGAACCTAATACTGGAAAACTTTGTAAGCTAGAGCACTCAAACGAATGTTTAAAGATCTGGGACGTGAATAGTTGTAAGCCTAATGTTAACTCTGTTCCTGATAACTCGAAAGCTCATATTGTCAAGAAATTGTCGCATGTTTTTCCAAGAGTATTTGCACTTAAAGATACCTAATGATAAACCCATTGAAAGTTTTAAAGTAAATGTCAATCTAAAAGATGGTTCCAAACCTATTTTTCATAAGGCCTATAATGTACCCTATGCTTTGCGAGATGAGGTCTCTGTTGAATTGAGTAGGCTGGAAAAAGAGGGCATCATTACTAAAGTCACACATTCTAACTGGGCGAGTCCTATTGTAATAGTTCCTAAGTCAAATGGTAATCTCCGGCTTTGTGTTGATTTTAAGACAACTTTGAATAAGTGCTTAAGAGTTGACCAGTATCCTTTACCAATACCTGAAGATATTTTTAATAAGTTTACTAGCTGTACTGTCTTTACTAGGTTAGACTTATCGCAGGCCTATCTTCAACTAGAGGTAAATGAAAATAGTAAAGATCTGTTGGTAATTAACACTATCAAAGGATTGTATCGTTACAATCGCCTACCCTTTGGTTTAGCGTCGGCATGTGCCATTTTTCAATCTGTGATTGAGTCTATACTAACAAATCTGAGTCATACAGCACCCTATCTAGATGACATTTTAGTAGGTGGAACTGATCTTAAACATTGTCAAGAAAATTTGAACAAAGTGTTATCTCAGCTTGAAAAGTATAATGTAAAACTTAACGTAGAAAAGTCAGAGTTTTTTGTATCTTCATTAGTATTTTTGGGGTTTGAACTGTCAGCAAAAGGTAAAGCGCCTTCGGCTTCTAAAGTACAACAAATTTTGTCGATGCCAACTCCTACAAATCTGTCTCAGTTGAAATCATTCGTGTCTATGTTCAACTACTATAGAAACTTTGTTCATATGTGTCCGGACCTATTAGAGCCTTTGCATAAGTTAATGAGAAAAGATGAACAGTGGAATTGGTCGTCTGAATGCGCTTTAGCGTTTGCAAAATGTAAAACAGCTTTAAGTGAGGCTACTATGTTAACTTTGTATGATCCTAGCAAAGAACTAATTTTATCAGTTGACTCCAGTTCTTTTGGAGTAGGGGCTGTTCTTAGTCAAATAATTAATGGAAAAGAATGTCCAATTGCCTTTGAGTCAGCTACCCTTAATCAAGCACAAAGTAATTATTCCCAACTTGAAAAGGAAGCTTTGAGTGTAATTTTTGGTCTTCGCAAGTTTCATAAATACTTATGGGGGAGAAAATTCACCATTTACAGTGATCATTTACCACTTAAGAGTCTATTTGGTGAAACAAAAAGAATTCCGTTACTAGCTTCAAGTAAATTAATACGTTGGGCAACCATTTTGTCAGCCTATCAGTACAACATTGTACACAAAAGGGGTACGGTACTTTAATTCCTAATGCAGATGCGTTATCGAGGCTACCTAGTGCTGTTAGTTCTGTAGAAGATCAAGTAGATAGCCTATTCACTTACTTGTCAACACCATTGATTTCTTTTGAAGAAGTTAGCCTTGAGACACTCAAAGATCAAGCATTATGCAAAGTAGTTAAATATGTACTTGAGGGTTTTCCTCGTTCTGTTGAAAAGGAATTGCAAGTGTACGCACAAAACAAGCATAACTTAAGTGTACACAAAGGTTGTTTATTTTTTGGTAGTCGTAC